CAAGATAAAGAAAACACGTCAATTACCTGCTCCCATCCAAATATTCCACCATTGATGGTTCCGATATAGTTATCATTGATTGTAGAAGAGTGTACATTGAACGTTGAGGAACAAGCAGTCTCTTTACTTTTTCGCGATTGCCAATCTCTTGCTAGCTGGCGATCAGGCCGAGTACCCTAGTACAGGAGAACTTGGAAAATTAGTAATATCCCTGACTAGTGCCTTTACAATTTCTATCTGATTTTTTTCATTCCACCAGATTGACTTTGAGTCTTGAAAGTCAGACAATCTTGGATTGCATGCATCCCAACACTAGCTTCGTAGCTCATCTTAGAGACTTGAATGACAAAATCAGAGATCCTGTCACGTCACCAATTCCTTATCAACATTTTTAGCCAAAAAAAATTCTTGAACTTACCTGTCATATCGATCAAACAATTCCTGTGCTTTTGTACATCTTTTTTCATTCTGATTAGGAATATTCTTGAGAGAAGTAAGATAATATTCAATCTTATCAGTGAATAATTCTGTAAAAATATTTTGCCAAAGACTTTATATTTGACTAAAATAAAAAATTTCAATCACAACATTTATAGATTTTGATTTTTGTTCTATTACTATATATCAATATAGTAAAAATTTTAACCTGACCACAATATCTTTATCTGTCTTATAATCCATTTGTAAATCTAAAGATTTACCTATCAGAACAGGGAGCAATTATTGTAATCCAATAACGAAGGTACGTTAAAGCCATGTAGTCACACGTGATTTTTAATCTGATTTGGATTGCAATCATATAATCAAAATTGAATAGCCTATAAAAATACTAGTGTTAGCTTATCAATATTCTTTGAATAAACTTACACTAATTTTAAATAACATACATATGAAATTCTAGTGTTGTAATGAAAAAGTTCTTTTTGAATACTTGGATTTGAAATAATAATATTTTTTAATTGAAATTATATTGAAAGTTATAGTTCTGTTTCAATAATGATAACATAAGATTTAAATAATTTTATAAGCTTAGTTTAATAATTTTGCAATTGGATAAGTTAACTTTCTATGAAAATATAAGGTTCAAATAATGATATAGTTTTAATTTTTTATTATTTTCAAGATTTTTCTATTCAATATTTTTAATTTATAATTATTTTTAAGTATATTATAAATATAATATGAATCTTTCTATCTATCTTTTAGTTTTCTTTTGTTTTTCAAGTGATTTTTATAGAGTAAGACTTGTTTTCCAATTTTAAATATATGATTTTTTTTCATTTTTTTATTATTACTATTCTTGTTATTGTTGAAATTTAATAACATTTTCTTTTGCTTTGAATCTATCTTTTTTTTAATTATATAGTCAATTTGCATATTCTTTTTAATAGAGTATTGATTTTATTTTATTTTTATTATTATGTTGTTATAATTAATAAATAATATCATTTTTTTATAAGTCAAATAAAATAATTCAAATTTTATAATATTATATTATATATTTCTATAAGCAAATAAAACTAATGGTATATATAGATTCCAGTTATCTTTTTTTTATTTGCATATTTGACTAATACTTTATATAATATTCTAATTTATTTGTTTATAGATAATATACTATTAACAAATTATATTTGATTTCAAGTTATTAATATAAAATATCTAATAATTCATTAATAAAATAAATTTTTCTATTAGTTAATAGTACTTTTAAATATTTATATTAACAAATAATATCTTTATAAAAGAAATTAATAGTTAATATTGTATTTTAAATTACAATCTGCTCTAATTGATAATTGAAATAAATCTCAAATCAAAATCTAAATCAAATATAATCTATTCTTTAATATTAATCTTAATTCTAATATATTTCTATTTTAATTTAGACCAATTATAATTGTAATTTGGAGTACAATAGATAATAAAACTTTTATTTTTGGTTATTATGTAAAATAATTTATAATAATTATAATATACTTATTATTTTAGATAATGATTTAACAAAATCTATTCCAATTTATCAAATAATTATTCTATTAGTATAGTATAAAATAATTTAATAAATCTTTATAAAAATAATATAATATATTATTTACTTCTTTTTTTAGTATTTTAAGTAAATTATTTGATGAGTTTTTGTTCTTTTTATATAACTATTTGTTTTTAATATATTTATATAATTATATTAATATAAAGAACAAAAAATATCAATTATCATTGGTTAAGTTTTTTGATAAGTTGGATATATATATTATTATAATTTTTATTAACTTATCTTATAAAATTATAAAAAGTGTCTATTTTTATACTTACCTTATTTTTGTAATTTATCTATTCAAATCAGATAAAAATTATACTAAAGAAACTAATTAAAGATAAAAATAATGAAAAAAATTTTAATTATAAGTTGAAATTATCACAACTAGAAAAATTATTAACTTGATTAAAATCAAAAAAAATAATTTTAAATAGAATTTTGTACAAGTCATTGTATAAATAAAATTATTTTTAAAAGAATACAAATGCAAAGTAAATAAAACAGATAACAAATAATATATAGATAATTATAATAAATACAAAATAATAATATTTTATGAAGTACTTACTCAATGATAAAGAGAAATTATTATTCAAGTTATTAAAATCTCTAATAATTATATATTACAATATAAAAATATGATAACAAATTCTTGATTATATTTTATAATAAAAGCCAATAAAAGCTTCAAATTAGTTAAAGAAAAAATAAAAAAGCAAAAATTATCAAGTAATTTTACAAAAAATATTAAGTTAATTGAGTTTAATTAATATGAATTAGAATAAATAATAATTTTTTATTATGTTATAATGTGTATAATTTTTCTGATAATAAAATATATTATATATAATTATATATTAATAAAATAATTATAAACATTTTTTTAATTCATTTGAAATATGCTATAGTTTATATTATATTTTTATATACAGTTATCATTCATTATTTTTCTTGATTATTTGACATGAGTTATTATCAGATTTTGAGTGATATTCAATCAATTTATATTTATAAATATTTATTTATTTTTAATTATCTTTTATTTATATTTAGTGATATTGTTGTATAATGGAATTTCACATTAATTATTAGTCAAAATTATCATTTAATCTTATTGGATAATTTTGAGA